TACTACTACTACTACTACTACTACTACTACTACTACTACTACTACTACTACTACTACTACTACTACTACTACTACTACTAAACTACTACTACTACTACTACTACTACTACTACTACTACTACTACTACTACTACTACTACTACTACTACTACTACTACTACTGCTATAACTACTATTACTACTACTACTACTACTACTACTACTACTACTACTACGACTACTACTACTACTACTACTACTACTACTACTACTACTGCTACTACTACTACTACTATACTACTACTACTACTACTACTACTACTACTACTACTACTACTACTACTACTACTACTACTACTACTACTACTACTACTCCTGCTGCTACTGCTACTGCTACTGCTACTGCTACTGCTACTGCTACTGCTACTGCTACTGCTACTACTACTACTACAACTACAACAACTACTACTACTACTACTACTACTACTACTACTACTACTACTACTACTACTACTACTGTTACTGCTACTGCTACTGCTACTGCTACTACTACTACCTGCTACTGCTACTGCTACTGCTACTGCTACTGCTACTGCTACTGCTACTGCTACTGCTACTGCTACTGCTACTGCTACTGCTACTGCTACTGCTACTACCCGTCGCTACGTACGTAATCTGCGAGCCTGAAACCAATGCCTGCGCCCCCTCGATGCTCGGAGGTTGCCAAAGGCGGCCCTGTGAGGTGCCCACAGCTTGTCTCGCCAATTCGGACCTACTGGCCCCTCCTCCTCCTCCTCCTCCCACCTCATCCTCCTCTTCCTCCTCCTCTTCCTCCTCCTCCTCTTCCTCAGCTTCCTTTCTCCTCCTCCCTGTCCCTCCTCTTCCTCCATCCTCCTCACTCCTGGTCCCACCATTTTGGCCTGGTGAGGAGTGCGCTCTGGAGGCAGCGGAGGTCCTCTTCGGGAGGCCCCCACGACAAGCGCATGGGCAAGGGACACCGTTGGCAGCACCGGAGCTGTGTCCCTTGACCCCATGGGGGAACCCGGCGAGACTCCCACAAAGCAAGTACCAGCCCCCCGGTTGTGGCCGGTCTGGCCTGAGACCCCAGATGGTGCCAGAGTGGATGGGGTCGGAGGATCGCCCCGCATCGGCGATGCGTCGGCGACGTCGGGATGGAGATGATCGTGCTCGGCATCGAGCCGCGCCGCCGATTCACCACCAGCAATGCGGCGCGATCCTCCAGCCCCATCTTTTGGACGCCCGAAGCGGGTACCGGAAAGAATGGGTACGATGCCCAACAACAAAACGTTGCCCAGAACCGACGGCGGCCAGGCGGTCTTCTGTCTCAAACGGACAACGTCCGCGGCGACACCGACAGCGAACCCTGTTCAAGATGGACAGGAACTACTGTCAGTCTTCGTACTCCAAGATTCGTCATAAAAGGGAGGGGGTCACAGCCCTCCGGGACGAGCAGTTTCAGACCCCCCCAGACCAGCCAGGAAAGGGCGGCCACTTGCCCAGACCTCTCGGGAACCCTCCCAGACAGCTCTAATTAATCAGACCCCCACTCAAATCAGACCACCCCTGGGGAACGCGCTGACCGTGGTCAATGTAAACCCGGGTCAGTCGAGCCCTGGCAGGATTCTGCATGATCCTGGGAAAATCCTGCACCCAAACCCGGGTCAATTCGCCCCTGGCCCTGCAGGATCCTGCAAGAAGATCCCGTGCTCTGACTGATCTGTTTGCATTGATCCTCGTCTCTTGAGCCCCGAACCCCCCCTTCCCCAGACCCCCGACGTCGTGACTTTTTCATAGCGTCGACCCACAAAGGTCTGGACCCATTCCAGGAGAGCGGCTCTTCATCCCGAGTCGTTTTATGACGGTCCCGAGGCCCGAGAAGGGCCCTGGGAGGCCGAAACTAGCGAAAAAGCTCCCGCCGTGATTTTTTCACAACGCGAGGGGGTCTGGGCTTGCATTGACCCTCGTCTCTGGAGCCCCGAGCCCCCCTTCTATTGTGGAATCCGAAATACCCATGCTTTCCGTATGCCCACTTCGACCATGCCCATATTCTGGACACCCGAAATGGGCACAGAAAGCATGGGCACAATGCTCAGCAACGAATGTTGTCCGAAACCGACAGCGGCCGCTAATGGGCAGGCGGCTTTGTGTCTTCAGAGAATTGCGTCCGCGGCGGCGAGAGCAGCGAGCCCAGCTCAAAAGGAACAGGAACTGCTGCTGAGCATCTTGCCCATTCTTTCCGTACCTAGAGGCCTCCTAGATGAGGTCGGGGGATAGCGGCGCAACGCCCATACGTCGGCGATGCATCGGCAGCGCATCGGTGATGCACTGGCGATGCATCGTAGACGTCGGCGATGCATTGGCGACGCCGACGTGAAGCAAATCGGGGCCCCCGTCGAGCTGCATCGCCAATGCACTGGCGATGCGGCGCGATCCTCCGACCCCATCTACTCGGACCCCGTCTCGGAGGCCAAGAGTTAAGTCGGGCGTGTCCCCCAATAGGCGGATTCCCGACGAAAGCTGACACATATTTCCCCCCCGCCCCCCAAACAATACTCAAATATGGCTCATAGAACAAAACAACCCCCCAAACTACTTTTGCACCATTTCTGAATGGTCCTCCTGCAGAGGGGCACGCCCGACTTGATCCTGGAGCACCTGCTTCGGTCGTCCCCGTGCGGCCCCCGGGGGGCGGGCGACGGCGTTGCCCAGCCCGGCGGCTCACTCGTCCGGGCGCTCCCACTGCGTCCTCGCGGGCACGGGGCGGGGGAGGGCGCACCGAGGGCGGGCGGCGCGGCCGCCTCTCCTCGCGGGGGCGGCGCGGAGGACCCGGACCCCCCCCTCGGCGGTGCGCCCGAGGGGGTGGTGGTGGTGGAACTCTGCGTCTCGTCGGTGCCGACGTGCAGTGGCCCTTTATAGTGGGCCGGCTCGGACCTGGCCTGTAGCCAGGTGGAGGTATGGCGGGCCCGATCCCTTGTCAGGCCCTTCCGAAGATTTGTTGGGCCCAGGCCGGCCCGCTCCTTGGCAAGCCAGCCCGAACCCCGCAGGGGCTCACCTGCATGGGGCAGCCCTCTGGGGCTCCTCAGGCGAGTCGCAGGTCAAGGCCCCTGGAGGCCCACGGCCTACGGCGTTCTTGCCGTATCCGCTGGGCCTTGGCCTCATTCTCGGCTATCCTGCGCCGCTGGGTGTCGGTCAGAGGAGGGCGGGGAGGGAGAGGCGGAGGAGGAGGCGGAGTCGGGGGACAGAGGAGAGGGGAGACTCCGATCACCTCAGCAGCGTAGGCCTCCTCCTCTGTGGGGCCTTGGCCGTCTTCAGGATCCTGGGAGGGGCCTGGGGGGACCTGGGCGGGGGGGGTCGGGGCCTCAAAGCGGCCCCTCTCTGGGTCAGGCATGCTGCGGCCCTTTCCCCTCGCAAAGTCTGGAGCCCGCTCCCTGGCCCCGCCCTCAACCACCGGGATCTCTGAGACGTAAAAGTCAGCCAGGCCCTGCACGAGGAGGTGGTGAGACTGGGAAACGTCACTAGGAGCCTCCTGGAGCGCCTCATCCAGAGCCGATTCGAGCCTCCAGAATGCTCTCCGCGATGCAGCGACTGAGGCCAGGGGGGTGGACCTTCTTCCGCGCAGTCCGGAAGGCCCTGGATCCATCCTCGCGTCCTAGCAACGCAGCGTGGGCCTCGCGCCCGTGGGAGCACATCCCCCCCCCCCCCCCGGGCGTCGCAACCAGGCGGCGGTGCAGCCCCGCCATGCGGAGCCCAAAGAGCCTGGTCGGGGCCCTGCTCAGCTGGCCGTGCTCGCACTGGTCGAAGTCGGTGGTCGTGGTGCACGGCGCCGACTGCAGCGCGAGCCACGGCTCCCACGTCCACGACGTGACGGCTGCCAGCCGCCAGCTGCACGGGATCGGGTGCCCCGACCACCCTGCCGTGCCCGCCACCAGGTGCGCCGCGAGGAGGAGCACCATGGACTGCATCAGGGCGTTCCCCACGGCGAGCTGAACCCGCTGCTGCGGCGCCGCGTGGGCCACTCCCCAGAACTGGTCGTGAGATCGGAGTGGCGGCGGCCCTGGCTGCTCCGACCACCTTGCTGCACTCCATGTCTCGCACGGCGGTCCTCCTCCCGACATCGCGATCTGCCTCCTTAGGATGCCTTCGTGGAATACCATCAAGCTGCCCTGGCGCACGAGGTCGCAGCGCCGCGCGTCGATCGCCGCGTCGATGCTGAGTACCATGATGTGCACCTTCTCGGACATCACCTCGAACTTCGGCGCTGACTCGAACGCACGCTGCACGTCGTCCCTGCGCCTGTGCCCGCAGAACAGGTGGAGCACAAAGATCTCTGCTCTTTGTATCCTCCACGGGATCATCACCTCTGTAGTCACCCCGCTGAACTTGTCGGTGCGGAACTGGTTCAGGTCGTGCCTCTCGGCATGCTGTATCGTCGGTTTCTCCGGTGCTTGCCCTTCTGAACCTTCCTGCAGCGTGGCCCTGGCCCATCGTCGAGCACGTAGTCTGACTCGAGCAGCACTGACTTGGCATCGTCCTGGTTGAGCAACGTTATGTCTAGCATGGGCCCCGCTGCCTTGATGGCGGGTATGTTCACTCTTTTCCGCAGCAGTCCTCGCGGGAGCTCCGTGCGCATCTCGTTCTCCTCGGCCCTGGGTGCCTCTCCCGCCTCGATGGTCGCGACGAGACAGGCGGGCGCTGCGATCGCCAGGTGCTCGGTGAGGTGGTGGGTCTGGTCGAACAGTGTCAGGCACCCTTGGCACTGTCTGGCTGATCCCGTCCAGGTACGCGCTAGACTGATCATTGTCTAGTGCTGCTGCGAGATGTGGACCCTGAGCCCTCTTTGGCGCCTGAAATTCCTCTGGCACCACGGGCATGTCCACTGTCCACTGTCGTGCTGTCACTGTATCTGCTTCGTCCGCATGTGGGGGCCCGAACGGGCTGCCCTCTCTCGTGGAGTATGGCGCTCCTGCTGGCTGCACTATAGCGAAGAACCGCTTCTCTGCCATGCGCGCCGCGTGTACTCTGCTTAGCTGCGCTGCCGCTGCCTTGAGCGCGTCGTTGAGCCTGTACTTCCACGAGGTGTGTGAGCGTAGAATCATCAGCTCCCATGGCCGCAGCTCGTCACTGGGGTCCGGGAGGCCCTGCAAGTCCTCCGAGTAGCCCTGGAGCCAGCGGAGGTCTCCCATCAGCATCTGCGGCCAGGACTGCCGCTTGGCGTGCTGAGGCCGCAGTAGGAGCTGGGCCATCGTCGCAAAGGCAAGGGGTGGTCCTGCTTGCAGTAGCTCGCCAAAGAGCCTCAGCCTCGCGACTCTCAGCAGGTCCTCCGGGCGGGCCCTTCCAACTCTGACGAGCAGTGCCTCGTCCTCGGCCTCGGGGTAGGCATCGAGGTCCAGCTCCCCGTCCTCGTTCGTGGCGAGCTTCTTCCCCACCGCTGCCCTGTAGACGGCCATGACCATGGTGCGGTGGTACTTGGCCTCCGCTCGCGTGAGTCCTGGCCAGCTGCCTTGCGAGAAGCACCTTGACGAGCAAATCAGGGCATCTGCGAAGACCATCTTGGTGGACAGGTCGAGCTGGTGGCTGCGGAAGACTTTCTCTCTCAGCTTCCTGAGAGATGCTGTTGTAGTGGCTGAGCGTCGGTAGAGCTCGGGGTACACCGCACCGTGGTCGTCGATGACCGTCCCCAGCGCCACGTGATTGTGCACTGCATGGATGGTGGCCCCTTCGTAGTGCTTCGACCTCAGCTTGACTCTGCCATGGCGCTCATGCCATAGGGCTCTCCTTGCACCCTTGGCCCCTTGGCCTGCAAATGCAAAGATCACTTCCGATTTGCCAGGATCCAGGTTGAGGACGAGGCCGAACTCGGCGAACGTGTCCAGCACTTGGCCTGCAATGACTGCCACCGCGTCCAGCGCCTCGTCCGCCTTGCCGATGAAGAAGAAGGTACCGTCGTCCGCAAAGGCCACGCTGTGGCCCGGTGCCCTCTCGAAGTCCAGGTCGCTGTCGAACTGCTGCGCCAGCGAGGGGGCGCTGGCACCTGTGACGAAGATGCCGTAGCCCTCCTCCTCGATTCTCGCCTCTGATACCCTGATGGCCTCGGCCATGGCGATCTCGTAGATCTGGTCGGCGAGGGGCTGGCCGGGGATCGAGGACTTGGTGCCAAGGGCGACGTGGTCCGAGTTCTCGCAGACGAACCAAGAGGCCGCGTACTGCTCCTCGACCAATGCCTTCAGATGTTCACTGGCCTCCGAACGGTGTAGCAGCGGCATCTCCTCCTCGAGCCTCTTCTTCAGGATCTCCAGGGCCTTGGTCGGGACCGCCGTGGACTCGGCAATCGCGTCTGCCTTGGCCATGGGTGTGCGTAGCACCAGCTCCCTGACCATGGAGTAGAGCGTTCTTGACTTCCATGAAGATGGCCGCGAAGGTCAGCATGCTGGCGGTCGCCGCCGTCTGTAGCATCCTGGTGACCACGGACGCATGCTGTGCGCCTCTGCGCCTGACTCCTCCAAATTGTCGATCTCCGACGGCCTGCGGGATGTGCGTGGCCATCTTTGCCCTGTAGAAGTGCCTTACTCTTTTACCCACCATGGCCGTGACCGCGAAACACCTGTGGTTGCCGCACTCCTCGGCCTGCTTCTTCTTGTGGTGGTGCCTGTAGAAGCCGCCTTTTCCACTGTACTGGCTCCACTCCTGTGCAAGCAAACTTTGTGATCTTCATTGCCCGCTCCATGTCCGCCAATGTCGGCACACAGGTGGGGTCGAGTACTTCGGGCATCATGGCGCCCCTCTCGAAGTGTGACTGCATGAGCCTGTGGAGGTCCGCGATCGGGACGTCGGCTGCGAACTCGACCAGGCTGAAGCGCTGCAGCCCGAGGGGGGCGGAGGGAGGGGGGAGGGCCTCTCGGAGGGAGGCTGCTCCTTGGAGGGCGCCGGCCTTGCGTCTGCAGGCAAGGCCCGCGCCTTCTGAGAGGCAGGGGGGTTTCTGAGAAACCCTCCCCCCCCCCCCCTCTGCGCGCGGCCGACCCCCCCTCGCGCCGCGCAGAAGATCAGGACGGGAGGGGCCTCGCCGCTCTCGGCCTCTGGGGGGCCCTGACTGGGCCCCGGGGCCGTCGCAAAACGGCTCGTGGTGAAAATTCGGTCCCGGGGAAGGGGCCGGGACCTCTGGGGGCCGACGCCGTGACAAGATCACGGCGCTGGGGGTCCGGGGATGGGGGGGCGGGGGCGCTCTTCGCCCTCCTCGCCCCCCCCTCCGGCCCCCCCACGCGGATGGGGGAAGAAGAAGGAGGGGGGGAGGAGGAGAAGGAGGAGGAGGAGGAGGAGGAGACGAGACGAGACGAGCCCATGGAATCCGCAGCTGTCAGACTGAGCATCGGCGGGGCACGGGATCCTGGGCGCGGGTAGCTTCGACCCTCACGGAATTATGGAAAACGAAATCTGTGACTCACAATCCTCAAGTGAGGCACTGGCCTGCCGACACCTCTGAGGCACGCGACCTCTGCTGAGGGTCGGCTTGGACGGCACGGGAGACAGCGCGAGTAAGCCTTTTAGCTCTTACTGCTGGCTCTCGCTCGTCGGTGCTCTTCCCCTCCCACGCCCCCGACTCACCGCCCTCCCCCTCCCTCGGCCAGAGCCTCTACGAGGCAGCGCTACTGTTGGAACGCCTGGCAACTCACTCTGATCATATGATGATGGCATGCTTCTCTCTCCTGCTAAGGCCCGCCCTGCGACCTCATCGGAAATCAAACCTCGCTC